ATTATTTATTGTATAGATATAGTAGAGTGCTGTAGGAATGGGTAGATTAGGACACAGATTGTAGCTTTGAGCATCTTGATAAGATAGAAAGGTGTTACATAAGTACCGTCCATTTACAGTCCATAATATGTATATGTAAAATGTATCATTCTAGAATTGCGCTGCTCGGGGTGGCTGCATGTTGGAGTAGATCTCTTACTTACATTCTGAGTCATCGCTTTTGAAAACCAACTCCACTTTTTCTAAATATAAATCACTTTTTACAGATGATTGTTTCCTCTGGTATCAGATGTTGTGCAGCTGGAAGGATTTTTACCGAAACCTTTTCACTTTGGGGTATTTGTTATGATGCGTAACCATGGCAACAAGATGGGTTTTTTTTTTTAAACAACCAGGAGCAGCTGATTAACATCTCAAAAGCTCAAATACCTCAACTACAGCCACAAATCTCAAACGAGCTTCCAGCTGCACAACATCTGATACCCGAGGACCACCGCCAGGTGGTGCTCGAGTACCTGACCGCCAAGATCCAGGAGCTGGTGGGAAACTAAGCTTGTGACAACGGGAGGACCGGGATCATCCCCATGCACCTTCAGCTGTCTGGCCGTGGTGACGAGGAGCTCCGCAGACTGCTGGGAGGAGTGACCATCGCTCAGGGAGGAATTCTGCCCGGCATACGGGTGGTCCTGCTGCCCAGGAGGACCAAGAGGCCCGTCGGATCTGACAGCAAGCTGGATCTGGGTGGATGGATCAGTATCTGTGGCCAAATTCTTCAGATTCACTGCAGGAGATCCTTCCTGTCCACAGCCATCAGCATCTAACAACTCTTGAATGAAACCAGGATGATGAGCTACAACAACACTTAATTTTCTTCTGGTATTTTTGAATTGAATTTAATTGAATGTAGGGCAGCACGGTGACGCAACTGGTAGAGCTGCTGCCTCTCAGCGAGCAGGTCCCTGGTTCAAACCCCGGTCCAGGGGCCTTTCTGGGTGGAGTTTGCATGTTCTCTCCAT